AGCTTATTGGGGCCTTACCTGGCCACGAATTATAGCTTGACGAAGTGGCCTATCATGTGGAAAATTATAGCCGCCAAATACTCTAAATGTGCAGGGAAAACCGGAGGACCCAGTGAAAAAAATCACGCGACCTAACGGGGAGAGAGAGACGCGCAAACTCCAAATATTCACGCGTTTGGGTTCGGCTCGGACCCACGACCCCCTGTATATCAGGCAAAGGTGTTAATATCGCTCCAACGTGGTGACCAAAGTTCCCAGCATCCCTGGTGCGTTACGTTTGTAAAGTTCCTGTCCATGAACATCTGGCAACAGCAACAGTCCTCCTTTGTTGGCAATTGTCGTCATCATCATAATCATCTCCCATCTGTTGCCGATGTTTCCAGGTCATTCATTTCCATCGAATGCTACCTCCTCAGCTCCATCAGTCCATCTATTTATATAAGGTCGCACTCATTACACACAAAGTGCTTGCTACAAATGAACCGCAATACCTTGCTGATCTCGTCAATGAACATAAACCATCACGTGACACTCCGGTCGTCCTCGCGGTGGCTCTTTTGGCTGCTGGCCACTGCATTGCAGCGCTTTCAGACGCGCTTTTGCAGTCGTCTGGAACCCTTTTCCTTCCAATATGAGGAAGCCACTGGAGCTATGGCACTTTTAAATAATCTCGATTGAAACTCAATTTCTTTAGAGCTGCGTTTTAGTTTGTTGCCCTTCCACCGCACCTTCGATTTGCGCGGTTGGCTACGTACAATGCGAAAGAGTTCTACATACACGCAGAAATCTCCTCCTTGATCATACTCTGCACCTGTTACCTTTCACTTGCTTTGACATTGCTCTTTCCAGATTGCTCTTTGGTGGCATTCTTCTGATGGGTACGACGACATGCGCAGTGTTGCGTATCCGACTGGCTGGTCAACCGGGGCAGGGGCGGATATTAGAATTTACAGAACATCTACAGAAAGTTACAGTTACACCGTACCACAAATTACGGCGCTGGCTGTGGTCGGTCAGATTTGTCAGCGCTGATAAATGTGATGGTCAGATGTGTGAAATTGTGATTCGACTGGGCTTGACCACCTGAGTTTCTCGTGAGTGATGGTGCAGAGTGGCGGAATAGTTTGTTTGTTCCCCCATAGGTTTTCGATGGCCAGTTAAAACTGTCAGGTGACATCTTGTCGTTGCCTAGTGAAGGATTGAAGAGCGTTCACTTGATAGCCTCTAATTTGTAAACGGAAACAATTAAAATTGGTCTGGGTTTGAAAATTGATCTGTGCTAGCCAATTGTTCCAAATTACTTGTGGACACAAATTAATTGCTATTTGCACCTTAAAGGCTGTTAATCAAATGAAGTGAGAAACGTTGTTGTTGATTTTAATTAGTGGGGAGGTTTTTGTTTTTTACAGAGTTGAACAGCAATTATGCATGGAATAATTACATCGTTACTGATATTTACTGATATTAATAATACATGGTATTAATAATACATGATATTAATAATACATGGTATTATTACATGGTACTATTAATATTATTAAAATCGAGTCATAATAAACAGTAATAGATTTTAAGCTTTTTCTACAGGAAATCCTCGCTAAGTCTCGGAATACTGCATTCGAATTTTCGGTCGATTCTCTTTTAAAACATATCCACCGTATAGCCTTGAAGCAGACTGTTAGGGGGAAATGCTGCCAGCGAGCACCTATTAAAGCCGGCACAGCACACAAGGGGGTGGGTGGCCAGCACCACCACCGGCGCCCATTGTCTGCTCAATGCTGATGTTTATACACCTCACCAGGTCCTCATTTAAAGCTGAGTCGACCTAGGGGATGCCCAGGACCAGTTGAGATAGTCGTCATTGATTTTGTCCCCGAGCGGAAATCAAACTCGGATTACCGGACACACAGCTCAGTGTGCTCACCACTACACTCGCACTCAAAACTGTTATTTATACATGCATATATACACGCACACACACAAGGGATAATGCCATGGGGTGTTATGGTTAGCACAGAGGTCGCCAGTTCAATTTCCCAGCACGGCAGTTGCAACAATGGGGATAGTTTGTTAATTCCTTCCGCCTCTGTCCACCCCAGAGCATCAATGGGTACGACACTTCATCAATGGGCGGGTCGTGTGTGGTGGAGTAAAGCGTGGGTATTCTCACGTCTCTGAAGAGGAGCTGTCTTGACTTCCCTCTAGTGGAGGCCCCTCGGCCAGCAGTGACGCAGCCCGGCACTTGCAGGGCTGCGTCCTTTCCCCACGCAAACAAGCCCACGCCTCGCTTAATAAACGCGGTGCCGGTTAATAAAAAAAAAGTTGTTTGGAAACCTGCCTCCCCGTCCCCCCCCCCGTAGAGAGCGTTCAGGTCCATTTAAAAAAAAAAGCCATACATTTTACGCAGACAGCCCATCGAGAATGCGACGCGGAACGATTTGCGTACAGAGAGAAATGGGCGAGAACGTACCGAGCGCGTTCCCTGTGGTCCTCGCGGGAACGCTGTCACGGTCGCTCGCAAGCTGTCCCGCAGAAATTCGCAGGCGCTGGAAATCCGCCGGACGCGTCCCGGCGCTGGCGTTATTGTGACTCGCACGAGAGCGACGGACGGACCCGTGCGTGTGCAAATCGCGATTGCATGCGATCGCGTGCGCGAGTGCGCGCCTTTCTAAATGAAACACTCGAACGCGCAACCTGAATCGTGGACCGGGGGCAACGCTATTAACGGCGGGTTCGCTTGCCCCCGACATTTTTCGCCGTGGTGAGGTTGGACGAATATCGAGTGCCCTGATGTGTGCTCGTGGTGTAATGGTTGTTGTTGTTGTTGTTGTGGAAGCGGTTGTTGGTTAAGCTGCCGGTTAAAATATTCGTGTGTGCAGAATATGCGATTTATGAATTGGGGCGTCAAGGTGGCCATCTTATCTCCCTCGCCTGGTGTGTAGAATGTCGTGGGTAGGATCCCAACCATGACGCGCGCATATTTGGAGCTTGCATAATCTCCCCGCGGGTCGCGAGAATATTTCTCCCTCGACGTTTTGAATCGCCATTGCATTTGGAGTATTTGGCCGCTGTAAATTTCCTACGTGGTAAGCCACTTGGTTGAAGCGATCATTTGTGATGGCCAGGTCGCTTCTGAAAAAGAGCTAAGTAGCTCGGTGAGCCTTACTTGGTAAATAATTAAAATCGTTTTTTTAGATTTTGATTTAAAACTTTCGTGACTGCAGGAATTCAAATTCTGTGGTTCCTTCGGTAAAGTCACGTAGATAGAAAAAATAATAACAATAAAAAAAATATCCTGATGACGATTGCTCGTGGTTGCGATCGAAACGTCGTGATATTTTTATTATTTTTTTATTCACTTAATTTCATTATTATTATTATTTTTATTATTTTATCATTCTTTTTTTTTCTATCTACGTGACTTCACCGAAAGCACAATAGAATAGTTGTTTTTAGGTTAAGCCGCCTTGGACGCGGAACAACTTAATCGTTTTGAAAACGACGGGGGCCCAGATTGCAGTGACGCAGCAGACCGGTTCACCTTACACAAATCCCCCGACAAGTTTTGTGGATAGATTTAACTCAAGTCGCCTTCTTCAGGACGTGTCAGTTCATACATACGCGTAATAAACAAGCTAAGATATTTTACAACTTGGCCACACGCAGTTCATGCAAAGAACTGCAATGATTGTCCAGAATAAAGTGGCGCGGGGAAACTGCGTTTTGATGGTTTCGCCCTTGTTATGGATCATCACGATAGCCAGAGCCGTCCTTGCAATGCCACCAGCCGCTGCACTGTTACGCTGCTGTAAAGTGCACGACAAGCATGGCAACGCGTGGGGGAAGCAACCGCATCGGCCACGGTGACCTCTTGGTCTTGAAGGGTCCAACGAAATAAGCTGGCAATTTCTCAAGGCAGTGAGTGGAAACTGGAAAGAAAGTTTCGCGGTCTCAATCTATTTTCTGGTGGCACAGGTGTGATGGCGTCTCGAGCAGTATAATCTGCCTTCATTGCCGATTTTCATCAAGCAGCAGCAGCAGCAGCTGTTTCTGCCGCCACCAATGTGTTGCAAGACAAAAAAAAATGCCATTAATGGCTTCTATCATTACGAGGGATGATGCTGCTGTGGTCTAACGGTCAGCGCACTGGACTTGCAATCCAGAGGTGGCCGGTTCGAATCAATCTTAAGACGCGGCAGTTGAAATAATGGTTGAAAGTCTTTTTGTTAATCCCCCATAACCCACTCCCCCACCCCCAACACCTCTGTCCACCCAGCAGTGTCAATGGATACTCCCCAGCTCTTCCCGGTGTGGAAGAGGGGGCCAAAATACCCTCCAGAGGGGGGGGGGGGAGGGGCTATCTAGAGGTCCCTCTCTAGTGGAGAAGGCCCGTTCCACCAGCAGTGGTGTGAGCAGGCAATTGCAGGGCTGCGCCGTTACCACCTTCGTCACGGTCGCATTACAGCAGAGTTGTGTCTCACCCGAGAAGCTCCATAATGCTGACTAATCGTAATAATCAAAACACTGGACAGGTTCCCCTCGCTTTGTGTGTGTTAGGTTTGTGCGATTTTCGCGCTGTATATGCATGTGGTTAACTTATATGTTTTTACCCCAAATTCACTCGATGCGGATTTTTATTCGCTCAGATGCGGCTAATGCAGATGGACTTGGGACAACATTGTGTTCTGTGTGTATTCTGTGTGTGTTTGCGTGCTCTGGGTGTGTACTCTGTGTGTGTGTGTGTGCTCTGTGTGTGTGCTGTGTGTGCGTGTACTCTGTGTGTGTGCGTACTCTGTGTGTGTGTGTGTGTATATTCTGTGTGTGTGTGTGCTCTGTGTGTGTGCTCTGTGTGTGTGCGTGCACTCTGTGTGTGTGCGTACTCTGTGTGTGTATGCTCAGCAGGCCGCATCTACTACTGCTACTACCAACGTGTAGAGTGAGAGAGGGGGGGCTGTAATTGCCTCCTTTGTCATGTAACGACGCTGTGTTGTGTCTTCCAGTAAACAAGCACCGGCCATGGCTGGAGGACGTCTACCATGGCGTGCTCAAGGAGACGGAGCAGATCGTCATGATGGAGCTTCCCCTCATCGCCCTCGACAAGGACGCTCCGCTGCCCTACGCCGGTGAGACTTCCAGCCCAGCACGAGATTGGGTGGGGAGGGGGAGACTGTGGTGCGGTTGGGGTGGTAAGGGGAAGGTGGGGGGGGGGTGAATACATCGCAGGGGGCAAACAACACAGGAGAATCGATGCAAAACCGAAGCTCTGTAATATCCGCTTCTGCGGGCCGCTCTACGGGAGATCTGATTGGATGCTCGTTCTTGTGACGTTCTCTGCCGATGGCAAGATCTGGGGTGTGCGGGAGGTGGGGGGGGAAGAACCTAAAAGCGTAATTGGCTACCATGGGCCCCCGTTGAGTCGATGTTTGGTGACTTTCTCGTGGCACGCGAGCGATCTAATATTATTTCCCATGGCTTAAAGTATTTTCTGGCATCTGTTGTTGTAATAATAATTGCTACTCCCCCCCCCCCCCCTCTTCTCTGGGAAAATTCACACAATGAGATGTTAATGCGTTGGCATTTGGGTGAGCTCATGTTTTGCATGAGGAAAAGTAAACAGTGAGCAAATTAAGCCATATGGGGAGCGTCTCGCACACCCCCCCCCCCCCCCCAGCGTCGCTCGTTTAAATGAGACGTCTCGGTGGACGGCGTTCAACTCTTAACTCCCCGCACCACTCGATGCACCATCATAACTCGCTCTCGCAAATCGATTCAAAGAGTCAATTGATTTTATATGTTGCTCCCTTTTAATGGTGCTAAATTGGCATTCGTTGTCTGCTACATTTTTGTGCACGCTGAGAAATATTCACGTTCCTCGGAACATGAGAGCACCCGCCGTCTTGCACACTTTCAGCCGCACACGTGTTCCCTCGCGACGTGAATCGTCCAAATTCCAGATCGCGATTCGATTTGGGGAAAATCGGTCGTTGTAATTCATTTCCCCTTCATGGTACTTCTAGAATCTCCTAAGTTGACCGCTCGGTTTATCAGAACCTACTCGCAAAACATCACAACAATGTGCAGGAATTCAAAAATGACTCTCGCCCGTAAACCGCAAATCGTTGCGAGCATCGCGAGGTGCAATAATCGGTTCTCGTCAATTAATCGATCGGCCGTCACATGCCCCCACACACACACACACTGGCCCTTTGCTGTGCACCCAAATAATAAATCCATTCATTCGTCACCCACAGCCCTGTCTCAGGACCCCGGTGCTCGGCAAAAGCTTTGCTTGCGATCGCTGCGATTCTCAGGATCCATCGGCATCACCACTTTCCTGCCTCCGTGTTTGTTCACAGTTTGCCCAAACAATGTGAAGTGCAGAGGGGTGGGAGTGGGGGTGGGGGGTGGACAGCAACAATCCGAATAGAATCTTCTTTTGCATGAGGAGTAGTTCCAGGACGCGTAAAGAAATATGTTTCAATCTAGATTTAAGCGGCTTCCTAATAGCGGAGGGAAGAGCATTTCAGACGGCCGCAGAAGCTACATCTGAAAGCGCCACGATGCGGTGGCCGTCTTTGTTCGATGGCCAGACAAAAGCCGCTGCGAGGATGACCGGAGTTTGCGTGATCGTTTATGCTCCTTGACGGGATCAGCAAAAGTACTGTGGTTTCATTTGTGGCAAGCACTTTGTACACGCCACGTATGAAGCCGCACGTTTTGCCAGCTGTGAACTCGGAGGATGGGGAAGAGCAAAACCAAGTGTAAGGGAAAGCAGGGAAAGAATATGAAAGGATGCAAAAATAAGTAAAGGGAAAAAATAGTAAGGTGGATTGTCGGGATGAGATCACAAGATGGGGAGGGAGGTCAAATGAAGAGCGAATCATTGAAAGGGGAACCAACTCACAAAGAATATATCTTATTTAATACATCAAATGTTGTTCCACCATGGCAAGCCCTTTCACGGCCGTATGTTTTTACGAAGCCGTGCTCGGTTCCAAGGGGATTTGAGTGTCTTAGGATTAGTTGGAAATGCCCTCGGCTGTACAGTGTGTCTGAAGATTAGGATTAGACCATGACAACACATATCTGGGTGTAGTATATTTCATTGGCGGTGAACATCGCTGTGCCGTAAGATTGATATTTATAAAAAAATAATGATCAGTTTTATAAGTAAGTCAAGTTAAAATATTGTTCATAATTCTCACGAGATGCCCGATGATGGACATTTCGCTGATACGAGGGAGGTCTTGGTTTTTCAAGAAATTCGATGCGAATTTATCTCGGCATTCCTAGCCATGCCGATCTGTCTCATGATTTCATTTATGTATTGTTATGCCTATTGTCATCATCATATATTTTTTTTAAGTAGGCCAGCAATTAATGGAAAATATACCAAGCACACAGCATTTGCAGAGGAAATTCATATTGATTTTTGTCCATATACAAGTGGCCAGAGATATGCAGTTTAATATTCAATATCGTTCTCTCCTTTTTGAATCATTACATTGCTAGCAATTGCAGGCTGAGGGCCGCAGGACATTAGGACACAACCCTGGCTGCACATTTACAACCAGAAGCATGTTTTCCTGCGTCACGCGTTACTGTTTATCTGGCTTCCAAACTGCAATCTGAATGTTTATTTTTAACATTCCCCTTCTGCGGTACATAATCAAGCCTGTGTACATGTATATATGTCTACGTGTTGAACTTCTTTCGCATCGTACGTAGCCAACCGTGCGAATCAGAGGTGCTCATCCGAGGTATGTAAAAGTGTAGCCACGGGGAGAGTTTTGTGTTCAGATTTCTAAGCCATTCTAAACGCATGGAGTGGCACTGAGGGTGGCGCAGGGGGTGGCAGCACTGTTTTTAGCACCAAGAGCCGGGTAGAGACCTCGGTTCAAATCCCGACCGTGGCTGACGTCCATGCGAGCGATATCTAAACTGGTCTTGTACCCCCGACGCTTCAGCACCCCACGCTCATAGACGGCGTGATGAAGCATGGTCAAACAACTCCTGTAAGCATCGTGGCGTGTGGGGAGGCCTTCATCCGGAAGCAGTTTGGCAAATGGCTGAATAATTCGCAACGTTTTTTTTTATTTTTAAGCAATTGTCTTCCATGGGTCCACCCAATGCCACAGACGGGTGTTGCAGTCACCCAACAGGTGCACTTTCTGCCTTGTCTGTTGCTGCTGCTGCGTGCAGTGCATCGCATCGCACTGTTTTTTACCTCCTCCCCATTGCATAATCGGAAAACACGCTCGTAGCTGCGCGTGATTTGCATCTTAATGTGTGGGCTATGTGCATTTTTAATGTCCTGAAGTCATTCTTGAGCCAATTTCTCGCGATCCATTACAATCTGTGGGATAATGCCCCCCCCCCCCCATCTAAAACGAATGTTTGAAGTTAGTTTTGCTGCACGATGCGTATAATACGTAAGCAGGGGTCTGGGGAAATCACTAAAAGACAGCGCAGATTGCTCGCCCCTGCCACACGAACGGGGTTTCCGGTGCAAGTGTTCCTAAGTGTAGACTTGGGACTCTTGTTATGCTCTTGGGTCTGTGACTTGAAAGGCGTCTCTCTAATCTAGAACTAATCAGACGCATGTAAAAAAAATAACTTTCAAATATTGTTGTCCTTAAAATATAATGTTAAGCAAGCACCCATCAATTGTCAATTATTTGCCATTCTGTTCGACATTTTTTTTAAACGTGTTTTGGAATGATTTGCAAAACCACCAAGAATAAAAAAATATTTGTGCGATTTCAAAATATTCGTTTGGGTTGATGGGATTAAAAAAAAGGCCTGGCGAGAAATCTGTCTAGACACATCCTGTCAGGCTTACCACTTTCCAAAGTGATATTAAATTACTGAATTATAAGCAATTCAACAGATGGGTATTGCAGCAGTCACAGACTTGCCTGTACTCTGTGGGCCCTTGATTGGAGCCAGTCCCCATGTCTCACGGGCAAAGAGGACATGCATGCACTTGCACCAATAAATGAGCCCGACTGTTATTGCTTCTGAAAAGCATTCCCCTGTAACATTGTTTTGCCAACCACAAGACGTGTGTGCGATTAGCACGGTTGGCTACGTGAAAGAAGTTCAACGTGCATACATTCACCCATTCACTGACCCACTCGCTGACCTCGGTTGGCTACATACGGTGTGAAAGAAGTTCAACTTACATGCGTACCCACTCACTGACCGACTCACGGTTGGATATGTAGGGTGCGAAAAGTTCAACACGCATACATACACGCACGCACTCACTGATCCACTCACGGTTGGCTACGTACGGTGTGAAAGAAGTTCAACATACATGCATACTCACCCATTCGCTTACCTACTCGCTGACCCAGCCATGACGGTTGGCTATGTACGGTGTGAAAGAAGTTAAACATACATACATACGTGCCGGACCTGCGGACGCGTAACGCAATAACGAACGCGATGCTCAGCCTTAGCCAGACGATAGTTATCTTCTTGGTTCTTTCGGTAAAGTCATGTTGAAGGGAAACAATAAAATAATACAAATATAAAACAAAATTCTCACGACGTTTCGACTGCAACACAAGCAGTCATCAAGTGTGAAAACCAACGGCAAGAACATTTGAAAGAAGTGGCAGTTTATATATTTTTTTTAACGTTAGCACCACGGATAGAGATTTGACCGTTTGTTTAGATGGACGAGTCCATCTATGTTCGGAAAAGAGGAGGGGGGAGACGAAAAATGAATGTATTCTGTCTGAAAGCCACCGTAAGCGTGAACAATCAATTAAGACCCCGAAATGGTTTATCAAATCCTTCCAATGATTGCTAAGCCAGAATCCATCTTCTCGGTTGAAATTGTCTCTGTGTTTGTATATGTGGATAGCCTCATCCACATATGAGGCTATCCACATATACAAACACAGAGAAAACTTCAACCGAGAACATGGATTCTGGCTTAGCAATCATTGGAAGGATTTGATAAACCATTTCGGGTCTTAATTGATTGTTCACGCTTACGGTGGCTTTCAGACAGTATACATTAATTTTTCGTCTCCCCCCTCCTCTTTTCAGAACATAGATGGACTCGTCCATCTAAACAAACGGTCAAATTGCTATCCGTGGCGCTAACGTT